CTTTCCTCACCAACAGCATTGCATAGAAAGCTGCCTTGCCCTGGGCCTGAGTTTGGCTTCCCTTTTCCCAGAACACAGTACTTACCCAACTGAGAGAAGCGGAACAGCTCATCCTCATTCTCCGTGGTGTGGTCCACGTTTAGCTGCATCACCTGCAGCCCATCCACAGTAGACTTGCACAGGAGCGCACGATTTGTACCTGTGGTAGGAGCAGTGCGTAAGGCAGCAGGTGGCTACTTTATGAAAGAAGGGGTGGAATGCTAAGAGAGAACAGAGGAAGAATATCCATGGGGATTATGAACAGGAGAAAAAAAGGGAAGGAATGAGGAAAGGGGTGACAGAGCAGACATTCAGTCATTGGAATACCCTATAAACATTCCGTCAATGGGCTATGGAGCCACCAACATCAACCTTTGATGCAGTGCCTGAAAAGAAAGGAAGCTCTCTTCTTCCTGGAACCCACTGTCCCATACACAGCTGTTCCAATTGTGGTCAAGGTTACACTCATCGTATTACCCAGCCCCTAGAAGTGCAGACCCAGCAACCAGCTTCAGTACCACTATGATGCTAGTGGCCCCCACAATGAATGATAAGTGCGTTTTCCAACTTGCATAAGCCAATTCAATTCCCCGCTATGGTCAAGTTTTAACTGGCTGCCCTATGGCTGTAACTGCCCTCAGATATGCCAAGATGAAAAGCTGAGAAAGAGGCACACACCTACATTGGCGATGTACAGCTTGTTGTTGAGAATGACTGCCACAATAGCCATGGCTCCTCCAGAGATTTCCCGCTCTACGGCCTTAAGCCTTTCCACAATCTTCTGGTACTGAGAAGGTAGCTGGTGCTGGGGCACCCCCTAGAACCCAGGATTACAGGGAAATTTAAACACACAATCCATTGCCACAGAAATCACAGCTGGATACCAAGCTCTTCAGGGCAGGGAAGGTCTTTGCCACTGCATCTGGTGCAAAGCTAAGGCTTAAAGCACTGACAAGTACTGGCCAGATTTCACTGATCTTGGGAGACAAACATCCTAATTCTCTGCAGAATAGGAACAGTGATGGTACAGAGGCCAATCAAATGGCCATGTCCTGATCCCTGCCTCATCCTGAAGGGGCATCAACTGCAGTGAATTCAGTCTCCATAACCCATCCAGCTCTTGCTCTCACTACTAAGACTGCTGCAAACAGGTACAAGGAGTGCCAATGGTGATGGTAGGTTATACAAAGTAGAAAGTTTGGGATTAAGACCTGCCCACTTCACACAAGCCACCAACGGATCACTATGCTAGGTGACACCTCTGTCACAGCTTCCCTGGGGGCAAACCAAGGCTACTGACCTAGAGACAAGAGGCTCCACATCTTAAATCAGCAATGCTAAGGGAACTGGGGAAGGGAAACAAAGTGGCACAGCAGTGGAGGTATCTTGCTCTGGCTCCAGAGCCGAAAGTTTGAACCTTGCTACAGATTTGTGCTGAGGGCCAGCTTGACTCAACCTAGCCAAGTACAGGTATCTGAGTGTTTGGGGTGCAGATGACTGGAGAGGCTGCTAGGCCACACTATGCCCTGGCAACAGAAATCAATATGCTTTAACCATGCTAGCTGTATGGGCCATTAGCCTCAGGAAGACCTCTGACTTTTTTCTAACTGAATTTTGTGGGTTTGGGGACACATTTTCTCAGTACTATCACATTACCTCTGGCAGCTGGGACTGCAAGCTGGCCTTCTCTGCCAAAGCATCATCAATGGACTCCAGGAAACTTCTTTCTACCACATCAAAAGCCTGAGAACGGATACAAGAAAGTAACACAAGACTGGATAACAGCAGCTGCCTTGCAAACACAGCAACACAACATCTGTTTCCCCTTCATCCTGAAAAAAGAGATCACATTACTCAGCAAACTATAAAAGTGTTTAGATTTATCTCCTTGGGGATCAGCCTACCTCCCCTGGAAATGCAATCGCCTTAGTGCAACTAGATAAGAGTAGCTGAAATACAACCCTGTGCAACTGTGAAGGACAGGAAGTGAAGAAAAAGATACAAATTCTATTCAGAGGAAACGAGACACATCTGTCACACCTCAAAAGGCAGCTACCGTTACTCCAGGAAGTGAGTTAATAAGTCCATTTCCCCATGTTCCCTCATCATCATCTCAATGTAAACTCCTTCTTCAATTAACATGTCCCTGCATCCAAGAAAGAAAGAATCCAACTTTCTGCAGTGCTGTCAACGCTGCATTACTGGAGCTAGAAGGGCAGATGGGGCTAAACAGGAGAGGAATGAAATGCTACTGCTCCTTGTCCTCAAGGTAGGCACACTCTCAGCTCCTGGCAGGCCTCCCCAACCTTCTCCTCATCCTGCTAAGGATCAGGGCATTCTTCTCCTTGTGGCAAAGAGAGAGTGTTAATGCAGGGGGAGGCACAGTCTCTGCAGCCACAACCCCATTACCTGCAGCAGGACTCGGTACACATCAGCGTCACTGTGATCCGTGTGGAGCTGGCCCAGCAGCAGTTCTGCAGAGAGTCTCTGGCCCACAAAGTTGGTGACTCGGTTGCCATCGTAGCCATTGAAGACCCCATAGAGGTAACAGCTGTTCTCACCCCTGTCAGAAAAGATCGAGGCACGGGGGTTAAAGGTGCATGTGGAGTACAGAGACCCTGCCCCCTCCCCACCCCATCCCTCTGTGGAAACCAGCCAAGCGCCACCGCTGACCTGGGGTGCTGGCGACTCACCGGAACTTCAGCCAGTTGTCTTCCCAGGGGTGCCCCTCACTGCTCTTGCCATCTGCGCCATACGACCGGTTGGGAGCAGAGCCCACTCCAGAGAGCTGGCAGAGGGGCAGGTCATCTGTCCAGCTTGTCTGCTGCTCCTGGGAACAGAGCCAGGGAAGGGAATGGGGAATCAGAGAGAAGTATGGAGGATGCTTCAGAGGTCAATTAGTCCAACCCCTTGCCTGATGGATCTAATTCCTCTCCAAACCATCCCAGGCAAATCCACTGTCTAAAGCAAAGCTAGTTAACCCTGCCATGACACCAGACACACCACCCTGACCTGCCACAGGGAAAGCAGGGGCACCATGGCAGCCAGCATCCTGCTGCTGAAAAGACTGTTAATATATGCTCGAGAGATCCCAGGAAGAGAGCCATGCCTCCTGCTACAAAGGGAGACAAAAACCCGCAGAGTTCCTACCAATCTGACCATGGAGGAAAATGCCTTCCCAACCCCAGATATGGCAATCGGTCTGACCCTGAGCAGAAGGACAAGATCCTCTAGCCAGGAACCTCTGCGTTCAAGCGCCAGCAGTAGTCCTGGCACAGCCCAGTCGCCATCCCCAGCTGTGGCTGACGCCAACGCCCCACACCTTTGAGAAAGGTGAAAAAACCCTGACACCCCGGGGGGAAAAAATTCTCCCCCCTGGCTCCATGGGGGAACCAGCTAATGGGAAACTAGGGCTGGGGGATGCTAGGGACCTGCCACTGCCTGCCCATGCCATCAAGGTCCCAGGAACTGCAGCCACCCCGCCAGTGACCTTGCAGCCCTCCCTGCCACAGGGGCACAAGCCACACCCTAGGGCAGACACCTGCCCTCATGGCGTTGCCCCCATGCTCCGCCTCCCCGCCAGAGCTCCAGGCCAACCTGGGGGCAGCCCCGCCCCGCCCCTAGCCAGGGGGCGGGGCCACACGAGAACGCCGCGGCCCATGCCCCGCCCACAAAAGAACGCCGGGCTCCACCCCCTCGAACTGGCAGCGCGCCTGGCGTAACCCCACATCACGTACAGCCCCACCCCCAAGCCCGTACGCTGCGCCCCCCCTCCGCCCCAGCCCGGCCCGGCTCGGCTGC